TGAAGCCATACCATTCATCTTTATTACTGTCAAAGTAGATGCTAACTGATTCTGTCATACACTAATGGTTGTCAACTGATCAACTTTTACCTTTTACTTCAGAAGGATTATACTGAAATGGAATGATATGATACCTGGCCCATTACTTGACAGTATTTTAATCTATGTTTAATATTGTAAGTTTAAAATTAAAGAGAAAATGCAAAAGAATAAAAATTGTGAAGAGATTCTTATGATAACAGCATTAATAAAAAGCAACTTACATTTTCCAGTTTATTTTGACAAAGAGGATAACCACATAGTTTGATGATAGACCGTTCATCAACAATGTCTTTATAGTGAGACGGAGTGATAAATTTTCCCTAAAATGACAAGAAAATAGTTCAACAACAGATACTGGAAAACCTGTCATTTTTCATACTCAAAACATCTCATAAACAAGTAAATATTTTTAATTTTGTAACAGTTATCTAGTAAGTTTAATAAACAACGTTTAGAACCTACACAATAAAAATGGTAAAAGGGTAAACAGGAGAAGAAAGACATGGGCACTTCTTTTTACATACAGAAAAGCCTCATAATTGTGCCTCTATTTGCACCTATTTTCATAATTTTCCTCTATTTACACTTTTTGTACACCTATTTACCAGCCTGTTTACAACCTTAACAGGAGTAATCATCATACCATTCCAGCAAAACTGCGCTGCCAGATAAACTGTGGGGCATTACAGAGACTTTGTCTAAATTCACAGATGATGTGATGTGGACCTAAATTTTCATACTTCACCTATCAGTCTAGAACCAGAGGCATAAACAAAGGCTGTGGTAATAAAGTGAGGATTCATAAATGTATGCAGTCCTGCGAAACTAGGCCATATTTTCATTGCAGAACCCTTAAGAATAAGGCAATCATCATCAGAGCTGACGAGAGAGGGAATAAATGAGTTGTCTGCTTTAAACTGCAGCAAATTGTTCCAGGAACTTAAAAAAAAAAAAAAGAGTTGAACACCAAGATACAAAATAGTATAAAAACTTGCAACACCTACAGAATTCAGAAGGAACTCTTCAGTAATGTTCTCTTCCAGGAGTTGTTCAACAATACGCAATGCTTTTTTCTCAAATTCAATCTTCTTTCTCATAGCAGCCTCCAGAGCTGCTTTCCTGTAACAGAACAGACACCGAATGACACACAGGGCAGATATCCATAAACAATTCTCCAATCGTATCTTTATCTTTCTTCTGAAATACAGTAGCTTACATTTTTCTGCATCACACCACGTTGGCCAAACAAAGCAACAAGTAACTGGACTAGTAATTCTGTAATAACCACAAAGGAGTTTCCAACCTTGGTTTGCTTTATTTCCACCCTGGTCAGGAAAAGTATGGACTTTTATTGGATTACAATACTTCCATACAAGGTTACCCGACTCTTCTTGCAAGAGAGGGAAACCCAGAACTGGCTGGACAAAGAGCCTGGGACAAACAATTTATGGAGTGTTGCCAGGAGAATGGGTGCTGGATGAGACATGAAGAGCGGGAAGAAAAAAGGACTGGAACAAGACTGAGTGTGAGGGTACAAAGTCAAGGAAGAAATAAATCAAACAAATTCCACTACAGTAGATTTGCTGAGTGTTCCTGAGCCTTGCCACTATTCTATTGTCAGCAAATACCCACAGAGCAACCATCTAGGTGTCTCCGATCTCCATTTGGCAGTGCTTCCCACAGAGGCTGTCAATGTACGGTCATTCTGCTGTCTTAACCAATAGAGGTCTATGCTATTCACCTGGAAGTCAGAGTCAAATGAATATTTAGGTAATTGTCCGTGGCAGAAAGTGTTTTTTCCTCTCAAGTTTGTTTTTTTAAAGTGAATAAAGAAAAATGGCAGGTATGCAAAGAAGTTAAGATGGCAAAAAGCAAGCACTACAGACTAAGGAAATGCAACTGTGGAGGTTAGATTAATAAACTTTTGGCATACTATACAATGCATATATGTGCATGCTGTTAGAAGTTACATAGCATCACTCCAAACAAGCCTGCATGACGTTGATGCTGGCGATCTCCTGAAGTTAGTCATGGTACTCTGAGAAAGCAAAAAAACATGCCAGGCAGAGAATGTGATTTCAAAGTGAGGCAAAACAACATGAATGCCATACTGTTAGTTAGAAATTATACCTCTGAGCAGCATCTTCATTCTTCAGAGTAGCTGAATGCTTATTTCCTAGAAATCAAATATACAAATGTAGAAATATAGAAATTAGTGTACTTTCTTCCTTTAACAGTGGAAAATGTTGGAATCTGAAAAATATTAAAACCTCTAAACTGTAAGCATAATCAAGAGAATTGCTTAGAAGCTTGCTTTTGGTGGCCGAGAGTGCCTTCAGTAAGCTAGAAACCATTCAGCAACTAGTCAGACACGCTTTTTATAAGTCTGAGAGGACAGACGCCCAACTCTCTTCATACTCTCGTTCACCATGTTCCGTGTAGTCAGAAAGCTAAAGGAAAAACGATTCTGACAATAACGTTGTGCCAACCACACCCACCCCGGCTCTCCGGCCCAGCTTCGCCCCTGCACCCCGCTGCTGGGAAACGCTGTCCTTTTCCACTGGGTTTTGCTCCGGGCAGGACTCGACAACACGGCCCCGACGCCGGCACCCTCACCGCGGAGCCACTCCTGCCGGCCGCCCCCCCTGCCTGCCGGTCGCCTCCGCGGACTGCCCCAGGGCTCTGCCCGCCCTGACCCGGCTCCCGGCCG